GGGGAGACGCGGGGCGACGCGGGGAGACGCGAGGAGATGCGGGGAGACACGGGGCGACGCGGGGAGACGCGAGGAGACGCGGGGAGACGCGGGGCGACGCGGGGCGACGCGGGGCGACGCGGGGAGACGCGGGGAGATGCGGGGAGACACGGGGCAACGCGGACCAGCTCTGACAGGCCGGGATCCCGAAGCTGCAGCACAACCGCTGCTTAGCTTGGGTGCAGCCACGTTGCCCCTCTACCCACAGCACGAAACCGCACCTCCGAACACCAGCAAACGCAAACGCGACACCAGCCGAGCCCCGGCCTGGTGCCTCCATGGGTCGGAGCGTCACCCTGGACACCAAAAGGTTGCGGGTTCGATTCTCAGTCAAGGCATGGACCTAGGGTCGGGGTCAGTCCCTGGTCAGGGCTTGTGTGGGAGGCAACCAACTGATGTCTCTCTCTCTCTCTCTCTCAAAAAGTCAATAAAAGCATGTCCTTGGGGGAGGGTAAAAAAGGAAATGGGCGTAGGAGTCAGTTTATCTGTCTTTCAGTCTGTTAGTTACAATCTTTAACTGGTCACGAGCTGCATCAACTGGACAGCAAGTCTACTTCAAGTGCCTCCTGTCGCCGCGTTACGAGGTAACGACTCCGTTTCCTTCACACGACAACGGGAAACGTGCGCACAGGTCAAACCGTCCGGAAGCCTGTCGCCATGAACCTGGTGGAAATGCTAAGAATGGCAGCAAACAAAAGGCTTCAGGCAGAAGTTTTAAGAATAAATCTCACCGATTCTTCGTCTTGGATCATCTGTACCAAGTTGTCCAACACGGGGGCCAGGTTTCTGAAGAGACGTCAAACACGGGGACAGACGTGTGAAACCCAGTGCTGGGGGCTGGGCGCCGTCATCACCGACAGAACGGAAATTCCACTTACTTGGATTTCATGTTGTTGAAGTTCTTGCCTAACGCCAGGTGCTGTATGGATCTGTTTTTACTGAGCCACACGATTAAGGTGGAGAGGTCGGACTCTAGACCTGGAAACGCGAGAGGGGGGGGAATCGGAATCCGTACGAACGAGCTCGGCTGGAACACGACCGGGCGGAGGAGGAGACCTCCCGGGGGCCCTGGGATCTCATCTCTTCCTTTCAGCGGCTTTCAGGGCGAGAGAGGGGAAGCGAGAGAAACAGAAACATCCGTCCGCTGTCCCACGTATCCGTGAATTCACTGGCTGCTTCTTGCAGGTGCCCTGGCCGGAGGTCAAACCCTCACCCTCGGGGTATCGGGAAGATGCTCTAACCAGCGGAGCCACCTGGCCAGGGCCCATCTTTTCCTTTCAAAGGGTCTTTGCTCTCTTTTCCCGCCTCTCATTTCAGAGGTAAACTCACTGCCTGCATCCTCTGGCCCAGCCAGCGGGAGATGAGGTCCGTGGGGACTGGAGCGGAAACAAACGGGCAGGAGGTTTCCACTCCCCGGGTCCCGCGGAGAGGCCCCCGTCCCTGCTCACGGCGACTGCAGGCGTCTGTGCAAATCTAACAGGACCCCGCGCGCAGGCTACGGACATCGTCAGGGATGCGGCCGGCGGAACAAGCTCCGAATAAACAAACCAGGGCTCGACCTCATCGCCACCAAGGACGCAAGAGGCTGGACTCAGGGCTTTATCAACAGACTGATGACATCTTAACTGACCCTTTTAGTTCCTGCCTAGACCGCGCATTGTCGGCCATGGACTCGGCTAAGACTTTGGCACAGATTTATCCCGTAAACAAACTCCACCGTTAAATTAAAAAGTCCTATCGGACGAGGGAGAGAGAACGTTTTTATGAAGGTGTTTTCCACATCGAGTCTCCCTTCGCTAACTGGAGAATCGTCTCCTCTCCTCCCGACGCCCGGCTTACCGTTGTCGGAGATGTCCAGGCTGGTGATGTTGTGGATCTCGGCGATGCAGCCCTCCAGCACCTGGGCGCCCCCCGACCTCAGCTAGAGACACAGGCGAACACAAGGGTCAGTCGCCTGCTGGAGGCGGAGCCAAAACACCAGAAAAAGGCAACGCAGTCTTCAACTTGGCACCAAAGAAAAGCCTGACTTAAAAACGTCAAAAGAGCTGCCGCGGGTGGTAAAGAGCCAACACGCGTCATCGCTGCCGCCTCCCATAGGCCATCACCCCGAAAATCGCCAGAAAAAGAGACAAAGACGACCGAGACGACCCAGGTCACCGCCAGCAAGGCGCTGTCTGCCAACCCACAAGAGCTCTCTCCACTTCTGACGTCTGGAAATCGAACGAATCCTCTGTGTCCGTGAGGAGGGGCTGCTCTTTCATTTGGCTGCTTCAGGAATAAGCCCTCC